GAAATTTAACCTGAACTATTCGATTTTTCTGATTATTCGAAATTTAACCTGAACTATTCGATTTTTCTGATTATTCGAAATTTAACCTGAACTATGCGATTTTTCTCATTATTCGAAATTTAACCTGAACTATGCGATTTTTCTCATTATTCGAAATTTAACCTGAACAACTTGATTTTTGTGACTATTCCATTGTCGAAGTATTCGATTTCAGGGACTGTTTGGGAGCTGATCATCCTATTATGATGTGGTTTAAACTTTCCCAAGACCGTTATATTTTTTGGACACATAGGAAATCGTATTTTCAATTTTGAGTATAATTTCTAAAACATTATATGTATTGAATGTGGCAATTTTATGTATAGTCTATGGTTACTGCAAAAGACTGATGATATCGAAATTCTCCTTACCCTGTAACACAATCATTTTCATACACATATTCCGACTCTACGACCCAGATCTCTGCTATGTCATTCATTCGATCCTTCCAGCCAGAGTGGGGTCTGGGTTTAAACTTGACTCCAAATCTGACATCCTTACTAAAATTGAATTGAGAATACAATCAAGTTTTAGCATCTGGGGGAATAATACCACACCAAGACGATAGGACTCCGCTTTCAAATGTCTCCACTCTGGAGAGCGTTGTCAAATGTGTGCGTTTTCGATAAAAACGCTCAGCTTTAGGTTTTAGTGTGTACGCATGAGGATTGGCAGAATACTTGAGAAGTGTCGAGAAGCACTCGTGCTTTTCCTAACACTTCTCGTGTTCTGCCAACCCGGTCCCTCCCCCGCTAGTGGGGGAATGACGGGAAACGGAAGCGCCTCACAGCGGCTGCAAAGGAGGCTAACCCAGGCGTGCTTTGTAACTACAAACAGCACCCGCGCGCGTTTTCTATTTCTCCAGAAGAAACCTGGACTAATATTCTCGTGCGCTGTTCCAAAAGAGGCTCGCACCAGTGACGATGTTAAAAGCAAATGTAAAGCAAATGATTTACCTGGAACTTGTGAAGTACCAAGCTATAGAATCCCCGTCATTTATACACTCTAAACCTTTCTCGAAAACTTTTCTTGGACCTATAGATTAAAAAGACCTGATTATTCATTTTTGATTTAAAAAATTCGTTTCCCTTTTTTTTCTTCTGCTTTTCTGTGCGTAAAGCTATTTTTTAAAAGCCATGATCATGTATGTATCAGAGACACATGTACCCACCAAAGCACTAAAAAAGTCTCCTATCCCCCCTAAAAACCTTAGTTGCTTATCATTTAAACCAATGTATCCGGTTGAAAATTCGTTTGCTAATGACAAGAAAAGAGCGGGAAAATTTGACTCCCAACAAATGGTACGCGCGTCTACCGGAAGAGCGGGAAAAGTGAATTACCTCAATCGAGAAGACTGAAGTTTTTCCAACCGGTATTAAAGGTTTTCCAGGACAAATGGTAATCTCCCTATTCAAGATTACTGACTCACCTATCGTCTGTTCTGTGAGTGATGGTGCTTCCGCTACATATCTCTGAAAAATTCAAGAATCTGTTGGAGTTCTTTATTTTGTTTTTAGTTTAGTTTGGATATTAAAATGTTTTAAATCCTGAAATAATGTGATTATTTAAATCTCTTCTGAAATCTCAGCCTTCTGCCCGGCCGGGGATGAGAAAAAATCTGCCCCCCCCCTCCTTCCCGGTTTATTTGTGCTCCTAGTTATTACAGTGCTCTCCGGAGAAAAGCCCTCGAATCAAGGGAGAGACCCAACAAACTTTACTCACATGTGATGGAGACACCGTTAATCGAACCCAAGACTCCAGAGGTGGGAAGAGTACTACCGCTACGACTTCCTTGATTCCCGAAGTGAGGTTATGGTGGACGTCAAATCAAGGAGTTTCCATGACATTCCATAGGTACATGCCCTTGAAACCTTTTTTTTTTTCGACGTCATGGAAACACTAGCGTTGATTGACGTCCACCAAAATCTACTTCGTCGCAATGGAAAATTGTACGATTCTACTCGTGCTATTAAGAAGCACTTTAAACGTAATGAACATATTGTCTCACCATGTGTTTGGGGATGGGCGGAAGACACCCATCTTCACATTTACATATCCCACCAAAATCTTCGGGTAGTTGCTCAGCATCGAAGTATTCTAAAAGTTTGTTTATTTCTCCTGTCTTAAGAACCACGCACTTTGCTCTGGTCTTGGGGTCAAGGAACACGCGGGCGATCTTCCATAACACTGGGAACATCCTTTACAGTGATGAGAAACATTAAAGAAATTAAACAAATGAAACGAGAACATTATACTTTCAAACTGAAAAGTATCAATAATGTCATTATCTGCTGAGCACGCACGCGCCCTTTGCATCTTATAAAAGAAATAAAAAACTTGCTTGCTGTGCTGTGTCCGGTTATAACGCGCTTGTGGATTGGCAGAACACTCGAGAAGGATCGAGAAGCACTCCGCTACGCATCGTGCTTCTCCTAACACTTCTCTCGTGTTCTTGCAATTCCCGCGTGCTATATAACTGCACCCAGCACACGCGCGCGTTCTCTATTGAAGAGATAGAAAACGAGCGAACGTGCTATGTTGAGTTATACCAGCACGCGGGAAATTGCGTGAGAAGTGCTACGAGAAGCACGAGCCCGCGTAGGCGACGGCACTTCTTGAGGGCTCACACAATTTCCCAAGTGCTTGCATAACTCAACATAGTACAAGCAAGGGGAGTTTTCTATCTCTTTTATAAAATAACTAAGATATAACTAACGATCAACTGAAATGAAATAATAAAGCATCGCTTGCGTTGATGACGTCATTTCCTCACGATCTATGTTGAGTTTTATTATATGACCGTGAATCTTAGAGCCTGGACACTAGCAAATCGAGCAATCTGATTGGATAGATCGCATCGCGGACTGGTCTAGATTCTCCGGTATTAACCGGTCCGATCGCATATTAATCTTACGGCAAAAACATTTTGTCCTTTTCAATGAAAAGTGGTCATATAATAAAACTCTTATCAACCGAGCTTGGTCGGTCTGTACATTCCGACCTCGGTCAAGATTATCCCGTACAGACCTCCCGCTCGGTTAATTAGATCTAAATATAAAACGGTAATTGACCAATCAGAGCGCGCGTTATATCTTAGTTAGTTTATAATTCTTCAATATATACACAGTCTTTTTGCTTGAATTTTGTAAACTCACCATGAAGTATTGACAATAAATATCTGAAAATAAAATGTGAACGAAAAATGGAAATATTAGGAAATTAAAAACTAAGTATGAAATTGAATAAAAATGAAAATGAAAGAAAAAGAAAAAGTGTTAAATAGATGGGAAGAAATAGGTGAATGAATGAGGTAATTAATAGTTATTATTATAATAATAAATAAATTTCAGTGAATGAATATTGAAATGAAATTAAGAGAAAAGGGAAAATGGACTAACTCACTTTTCCCATTCTCTCTGGGTAATACTCCTGATCTAGTTTGGCTAACTTTTTAAATAAAGTTAGGGCTTTTCTGTAGAATTAAACAAACAAAATAAAATAAAATATCAGTTAGTAATATCGTCAATATGTATTTATTAGTCCAGAGCGCGACCCACTTTTAGCAATCAATATATAGTTCTACACGTAAGCTATCGAACAAAGAAAAAGCCTTAAAAGTAAAGTTCTTCCGTGTGCTGTATCGGAAGAAAAATATCTTTACTCGCCCCAGTTCTGCTTTTGTTTACTCTGTCCTTGTAGCTCGCGCGCTCGAGGAGATAAAAGTAGATTGCATCCAGTTCAAGACTATATATTTATAGTTTGCCTAGGCCTGTCTTCCACTCCACCTCGACTGCACATTCAACACGGGCACCTCACGCGATAAAAGGCTCTACACGCAAAGACAAATGTGGCAGCCATGACAGGAGGCATAACAATAGAATCTTTCTCCCTTGAGAAACTGAATTCTTTCTCATGTAAATCAGATTAGACCAGATTCAATTGTTCCTGCCTCCTGTCATGGCTGCCATCACGTGGTGACGCAAAGCATCTATATGAAGACAACCGTTTATTATTTAAAGAGCCATACATTTTGCCTTAGTTGCGTTTTTACACCCAATTTTATCATAACGCCGTGACCAACAGTTGTTCGATAATTACGTGAATTAGCTTTCGTCAATTAAGAAATAACTCAGAACGACTCAAAAATCCAGACGTCTTAAGTTTAAGATGGTTAAATACATAGGTATGACTTTGAGTATTGGAGTAAAGACTAACAGTCATGTCAGTACCTTAACGTAAGAGATGCGCCAGTCATATCGTGTATATGAACCATAGTCTCCACAGGAAAGCCCTGGAAATAAGAAAGAATTAGAACGGACCGATTTAGATTGGGCAGCAATATTTTATCATTCTCTTTATCTTCTCGTAAATCTATATTCATCGTTTATCTCCTCAAGCGTCACCGCTTAGAAAGAGGAATATACTGAAGGGAATTACTCGTGATCTGAAATGGAAAGCATAACTCCGATAGTAAAAGCAATAATACTCAAGGGAATGACACGTGGTCTGAAATGGAGAAATAAAAGTTATACTCCACAGGCAAGGAAATAACACGTGGTATCAAATGAGGAAATTTATCCATAGTAAAATAAATGACACTCAAGAGAATGGCACGTGATCTGAACTAGTAGGGACAATAACAATAACAATACTAAAGGAAATAACACGTGGTATGAAATGAGGAAATTTGCCCACGTGATCGGAACTAGTGGCGAAACATTATACCCAAAGTAAAAGAACAATACTCAAGGGAATGACTGACGTGGTCTGCAATGGTGAGCAATCACACCTAAGGCGAGAAAGACTTTCAGCTAACTTTAGATCACGTGTCATTCCCTTGAATATTATTTCCTTGCTTAATAGTAACGCAGATATAGGGGCAAGTTTTGAAAGGTCTATAACTCCACCAAGAAACCGTGTTCCCAATAAAGCTAAAATTCGAAAGATTTCCTTATTAGTAAGACCTACCATTTTCTTAGATGTTTCATTCATTCTTGCAATTTGTTGTTCACAGTTCCAAATATGTCTCTTAATCACTTGATCTATCGGTAACTATTAATATCATTAATATTATCTTTTAATCCTCAAGTCTCATAGTGTTATGATAATTTTCGCAGCGTTTTTCCTGGACAGAGTTTGAGTAATTGCGCGGGATACCTGTGTTGAATAAATTGGGAGAGGACCGCGTGGGATGGCCTGTGTTGAGTAGATTCGGAGAGGAAGGAAGAAAAACAAGTATACTGTTTTGCGCATCTTCAAATTAGTCAAACACCGCTGTTTTCCCTGATTGAAAACTTAATTGCTCAGGTTTAGCCTCATTTCTGCGTATATATTCACAAATATCAACGAAAGAGTAAAGAATGCACAACTTTGAAATTCCTTGCGCCTTTACTGGAATAACACGTGAACTATTTTACACAAAACCAAGGCCATCCCTGAGCAACAGACAAATCGAAACGGGAGTGAATAGACTCATGTTAAAATTATTGCGTGTAGTTAATTGAATTACTGAGGTCTTCCCTATTTTAAGTCGCCGCCGCATTTTCAAAACTCGAGTATAATCTCTAGTTCAAGCATGCGCAGTAAGAATGACAGGGTTCAACCTCGTCCCCAGAGCCTGCTCTGGTCGTTCCTCGGTGCTGGCCAAGAGAAAGGCTCTTGGGACAAGATTGGACAGGGCTCTGGGTTCTAGAGTAAGTTAAAGTTAATCTTTTCTTTTGGGGCTTCCTGTGGTAGATTTATATTTAAGACATATTTTTTTCAATGATACATACCTTGATTAAGGCTAGCACATCCGTCCGTCCAGTATATTCGATATAACACGGTCTGCCTTGTTTATCGTGGCTATGAAAACCGCTGGACATTATCTGTGAAAGATAAGGAACATCGATTGTTGGGTTGCAAGCATTCTCAAGAGAGTTAAGAGACAAAAGCATGGCGGCCATTGTGGTGCCGTTAACAATGGATGCTAATAAGAAATCTTTTGTCAACGCTCCTCCGAGAGGCCGCAATGACGTAAAGTGCAATCGAAGAATACAACAGTCCACTTCCGAGATATGCTTCGCCTGTCACGCACAAAGGTTTCTCTCTCTCTCTCTCTCTCTCTCTCTCTCTCTCTCTCTCTCTCTCTCTCTCTCTCTCTCTCTCTCTCAAACCAGTGGAATCATATCTGGAGCTTTCCTACGTTCTTTGACTTTCCATCCTCCGAGAATAAAGGTGAAATGAGATGAGATTTCCACTCATCGCGTACAAATTAAAAAACTGTCACACAATCATAAAAAAATGAACGCCGCCTTCGATTTTTATTGATTCCCGAATTCGAAACAAGTTTCGCGCTGACATAAGTTATAGGGCACGGTTAACTTACATGCAAATCGAATTGGAATTAGTTCATAAAGTTTTGCGCAAAGAGAAAAACCGTTGAACCCAAAGAAAAACCCTCGAATCAAGTAAAATATCTAACTCTGCTCACACCAGGAATCGAAATTGAGGTCCCAAGGCGCAAACAGTCGTAAGAAAAGCCGAGCGAGAGCAGGCAGGAGACTCTATCTCTCTTTCTTTAGTCCATGTTAGAATAACTCACAAACTAAGGCCCCGTCACCACACGTGTCCAAAAATTTTTGTATCCGTGTCCGGAAATTTTCGAAAACGGTCTCCAGAGTGGAAATTTTCGAATGCGCTCCGAATACGGATACGTGTGGACGGTCGTATCCGCAAATTTTCAAATACGCTGAAGTATGCTCAATAAGAAAACTATCCGTCAAAGAGTCTAGGCACTAGCGTGCATCAGGGCGGATCAAGAAATTTCCGGATACGTGTGAACAGTGAAAACGATTCGAAAACGATTCGAATACGCTGCGTATGGATACGAACATTTTCGTATCCGCAAAAAAAAATTTGCGGATACAAAAATTTCCGGATACGTGTGGACGGGGCCTAAAGCCATTATAGAAAACGAAGACAAACGAAAAGTACGCTCCCACTCATCGTAAAAAACTGCCTTAAAACTGACGGGTATCACTGAATAAGTGGTCGTGAAACATGATATGAGACAAGTCAATGAGAGTAGAGTGAGACAAACCGACTAAATGACCGGAAAAATAAACAAAAGCTTATCGAGGTAGGCCCTGACTAAACGAGGAAACAAGTTTCCAGAAACATGTTTCCCGCGCGCATGTTTCCTCGATGATTCCAAGTTTAGCCACATGTGAAACATTGCTACGTGCAACAAATTTTGCTTCCAAGACGCAAAAATGTTTCTGCTGTTTGGCAGAAAGATTTCATGCTTCCAAGAAGCATGGAAACAATGTTTCCCAGTGTTTCCTCATTTAGCCACGAAAGTCAACATTCTAAAAGTTCGTTACTTAGCAACGCTTAATTGCTCTATCTTGAAAGTGCGCATGCGCTAACCGATATTGAGTAAACATGTTTCCTGATGTTCCCTGACAGTTTTTCCACCTTTGGAAACATTTAAGAAAACATGTTTCTGGAAACATGTTTCCTCGTTTGGCCAGGGCCGTAAGCTCTAGGCATGTGACGTAACTATTCGCCTCTCTCGATCAGTCCTCTCGTTTCTCGAATGTAAAGTGAAATTCTAGACAGGCTCAAGTGAAAAACAGTTTCATTTGAAGATGAATTCATTAAGCTCCAAACTCTTTGTCTCAAAAAGCCCCCCTTTTGGCGTTCTATCCTAATGATTGAATAAAATTAGGTGAACACCATTTGATGTTTGTTTTTTTCAATGGGTTTCGGAACACCACATTCGCATTGTCTTGCATACATACAGTACACAGAAAAGTTAACGCACTTCCTTCTGCCACAGTTATTTTACTAGAAAATATTTTGTGAATATAGAATACACGATATGAGGTTTGTTTTTCAATGGGTTTCGAAACACTACTCACATGGATACATAGTAGTACGCAGAAAATTTATCTCAATTCTGTTTTTCCACAGCTATTTTACAGGGAAATATTGTTTCATTTGTTTTATAGTGTACAGCAGCTCAAGTCGTGGTAAATTATGGCAGACGTTGTCTTTACGAAGCGAAAACAATACTAAATTAACCTTCTTTTACCAGAATATGCTTTTTGCTTCTACTTTTATATTTTCTCGCTCCATTTAAAAACAATTTCTCTACAAATTATTGTAACTAATGCTGCTGTTAAGTTCAGGTGTAGCTATTGCATTTCTGTACTTGCTATGGCCGCAATCTTCAACACGGTATTATAGTTTCACAATTCGTATCATTTTAGTATTTAAAAAAGGAGAAGTAGGCATCGAAGTAGTATTTATATCGCCTTCCCGTTTCAAACCATCGATTAATATCAATTCCAATGTATACTTTCACAATTCATATCATTTTAATGTTCGAAGAAGAAGTAGGCTTTCAAACAGTAGGGTCGATATGCACTTACTACTTGTATCGTCTACAATCGATTACTATTCTTCTATCAATATTTTTTTCCGTAACGCTTCTCCTTATCGCTCGTCTATCGGATATATCAATATTGCTTACCGTAACGGCGGTTGATTGTGTTCTCATATCTCATTTATCAAGTTTTATTCGTTTTTCGTAGGAATCTTTTGTTTTATGATACATCAATTCTTCAGTTTGTATGGTCTAAAACACGTTATTATTTCGTGTTATGACTTATGCTTTCCGAAGGCGGTGTTTCTCAGAATTTTCGGAGCTGGCTCGTGCATCGAATATGTAGGACTTAGCCAATATCAAGCCAGGTTGAAACGACGCAAAAAAAATCTAAGCGGGAAAACAACTAACACTAAGTAATTCTTATCCTACAACAACAACTTAACCATAAATCCAACAGACTCCTTTAGCTTTTGGCGTCAAAAGATTTATAGCTTTACGTCAAAAGACGTTTGTTTTGAAGATGAGGACGTGCGTGACACTTTTCTGCCGACGCTGCGCCGTCTCCTAAGTGGTACATTTTTAAATATTCAATTTATAATAAAAACAAGTCTGAGAAAATACATCAATATGTAGATGTTTTTTTAAGTAACAGATCTGAAAATTACCGACGCATTTCCGACGCCCAAGTAGATTGAGACACACAACCGAAGGGCCCCCGCTAACGACAAGTACACCAACCTGTTACACACCACTCAGATCGTTACTATAAAACCACTGAAAATCGTTAAGAAAGCTTCATCATACTAAAACTAAACATGATTAGCATAAAAACTCTTTCAACATAAAAGGTATGACGTCATAAAATATGACACGCCGATGACGTCAGTGGCGTGGTAGACTACTCACGCCCGTGACGTCACGTCTCAAGCACTGTTATTAGATCAGTTTCGAGTCGCTACTTCTATTCTACTCTTTGGTTCTAACGAACGAGTGTGATAAATACAATGTGGGTGTTTTTAAATCGCAGTACGGCTCGAAGTCATGCACCTACTTTATCTGGACGATTATTCAATTTAATTTCAAAAAAATGGTACTCACGTTTCGCATCTCCTTATCCAGTGGTCTCTGGAAAGAAATAAGTTCCTGTCATTACGTGGATTGCTGAAGCAGTCAACGGGGATTTTTGGGGCGTTTAAGACAATAATTTATTCCCGGTAAAAGTATTTATGAACCTGTGTTTAAAAGCGAAAGAGAAGTCGCTCACTCACAGATTTATCCAGGATCTGGTCGACGTTGTTCTCCTTTCTCCATTCTAACGTAGCTACGTACTGCCTGTAAGTAGAGACAAAACATTGTATCGTTACGACCTGTTCAATATAAAAATCGACACGCGATTCTGAGAAAAGTTTTGGACAAAACCCTACATTTACCGAAGAACTACGAGCTAAAAACCCGCCAAAGCGAACCGATACAAATCATTGGTGAGTAAAACCAAACGAATGTGGATATCAATTTAAGCATTTATAACAAATACAATTTTTCAATATCTTATATGTTTGTATATGAAGTATACATTTGTAGGGGATTTCCTGTGATAGGGTTGAGAAATTGGTTCTTTTAATTAGATTTTTTATTCACTTTTTACGTTAAAGTGGTTTTACTTAATCCGTGAAATAACTAGTTAGGCTGACAGCGGGTAGTGTAAATGTTGGGATCGGGTTTTACTTTGAGCAAGTGAAATGATATCGGACTGTTTTTTGTGTCTATTTATTGACTATTATAACTTAACAAGTACTGGATTTTTGTTTCACCGCATGGGGTAAGTAAAATCATTCTTTAGTGTGTACTACTACTCAATAGGGGCAGTCAAAACAAATAAAGTTTTTTACGGCGTCCAAGAAACTATTTAGCACAAGGGTATTTATATGATATTGTGGGCTGCCTTGGTCCTAAGTCTCGATACACCGAACCAAAAATATACAATGACACCGTTTCAGCTGGATGGCTCCCCTAGACACCAAAATAGGTCTGTTATTGAAGTTTTTGCATTTGGGATCCCTATGTTTTTCACACTTTTGGAGGCTTGTATCTCTGGTTCTTTTCAACGAAACATGCTCAAATATCACAGACTTACTAATATTGAGATGCTTTATCAGATGACAAAACCTTTTATTAGCCATTTGGAGGTAAAGGGAAAAATTGGGTCAAGTTTGCTTTGCAGTGCATTGTGGGCCTGCTTTTGTAAGGGACATATCATATTTTCAAGATGGCGTTCTAGATTTTGTTCCTTAAAACAGTCCTACAATGCACTGCGTACAACCTTAGCTTTTGGATTCCTTTATGTAATGTAAATTTGTAGACGGATTGGATGAAGGATCAATAGTAGGGCTTGCAGTATCGATAAAGACAATCTTTTGATTATTACTACTTGCCTATGAGCCCCTTGGACGTCAAAGCTTCGAGCTCTCAAGTACCTCAACAGCGTTCTCTGAAAAATACGACAAAAAACGGGTTAGACAAGCGTTCAATACGCACCAATTTAGGACGTGATCTTAGTGCGTCTCTTCATCCCTCTCTCAGTCCGTATTTTCTAAAAGCAGTCAAAAGAATAATTAGGATTTCGGACGTACTTTTTGATTTAGCGCGCATCGCAAGACCTCCTGAGCCCAACAGGTATCGACAGAGAATTAATGGAGCGGATCGAGAGAATAAGCGTAATGCGCGATTGAAGGCGAGTTAAGCAAAAATCATTCATTTATTAATACCGCACTACGAAAGATAAAAAATAAATCTCCCTTCAGATTCCGTTCAGAAAAAATAAAGGTTGTCTGTCACTTTTTATTATCACATCAAAACGACACTGTAGCAATAACCTAGGACATGTGGTAGCAATATTTTTACATATTCTTTTTGGTTCGCAAAAGTCCGTAAGGGCAACACCTCAAAACTTGAAACTAAAGCTGCTAGAATAACCCTTTTTCTCCCTCTCACTTTGGATGATTTCCTGACCGGACAAACTTCGACCGTTACTCGCGCAACGTTACTCACAAAAATAGCTGGTAAAGTTCTTGTCAGCGCGAAACAAAAGCGTTGATTTACAGCAAGTCTATCCCTCCCAGCTTGGCTTTCTACCATGCGTCAGTTCAATGCTGACCGCGCAGGAGAAACGCGCTCTACTTCGGAAACAAAATTTACAAGAAAATACTCTTTTTCCGGTTTCTTTTACATTTTTCTTTTAGACTCGCATAACTCAATATATTTTTAAGCCGAGCTGGAATTATTTGTAAAATTAATTAAAAGACCTTTTGTTCTGACTTACATCTATTCCTGGCTTCAAGCCCATTGTGCATTGTTCTAGTCGTGCTACAGCACACATCTCTGACTCTAAAGCGCTTTAGTCATGGATACAATAAGCATAGATAGAGCGATTTCTGTACGAGTGAGACAGACTAAGGCCCCATCCACACGTATCCGGAAATTTTTGTATCCGCAAATTTATTTTTGCGGATACGAAAATGTTCGCGTCCACTGTTCGTGTGGCACACGCAGCGTATTCGAATCGTTTTCACTGTCCACACGTATCTGGAAATTTTTTGATCCACCCTGATGCACGCTAGTGCCTAGTCCCTTTGACGGATAGTTTTTCTTATTGAGCATGCGCAAAATCGTGTTTACGTCAGCGTATTCGAAAATTTGCGGATACGACCGTCCACACGTATTTGTATTCGGAGCGTATTCGAAAATTTCCACTCTGGAGACCGTTTTCGAAAATTTCCGGATACGGATACAAACCTTTCCGGACACCTGTGGACGCAACCCGTATCCGCATGCAAAAAAAATTTGCGGATGTAAAAATTTCCGGATGCGTGTGGACGGGGCCTAACAGCGCGACACCACCTACATGGTATATCATGGTATGACATAATTGAACATTAAAATGGCTTCCCACTGGCTTCCAGTAATTCGTTAAATCGGGCACAACGAGTAGTCATGGGTACCTGTAAGTATAGATCGTTTTTTTTTTTTTTTTTTTTGCACGAGTGGGAGAGGATTCGGTAACCTTAAGCTTCTAGCCGTATTGTAGCTCGTATCGTATCTTACCATGAATATAACTGTTTTTGGATGAAGCCATTTCAGTGTAACGGCTCATAATGTGTAATGTCATAAACCGCCGTAACGTACGTTCCCTCTCACCACAATTAATGGAGTGGAATGGTTTGGAAACTCCATAGAACAAAGCTATTGTTTTGCGTTTGATGTTGAATCGTACCATCACGTGATACTGACCCTGCACAATGGACCAAAGCAAGTATGGCTGAAAATACTCATTTCCTTATTATTTTCATGTATGAACACTTTGAAAGTGAAAACTTTCATTCGATGGCCAAAAACCATTCGAATAAATATTTCCGCGCAGATACAGTTAAGTTACTAGATGATAAATAAGAAAGCATGAAAAAAGGCAATTTCCTTTACAATAAACAATTTGTATTAATCATATAGGATTAATTAAAAAATAACAAGTATTTTAGAACGTTTTTTTTAGGGTTAAAAATTTCTATATTCCCGAAAACTATGAAGAAACGGAGCAACGTTTCTTTCTCTGTGCAGGGTCAACGTCATATAACAATGGATAAAGTCCAACAAAAACATAGAACAATAGGTTTCCCAACCATTCCGCTCCATTAACTATGCTCCAACACGAAAACTTCTCAAGAGAAGTTGCTGCCGTATTTGTGCCTTGCGGCGACCGTGATGTTTTCTAGAATTGTCTTTGGGGAATTTTTTTTCCCCCGTGCAATAAATGTGATTGGATTGCAGTTGTGCCGTGACATTTGATTGGATGGAGAGTAAAAGTTCTCGTGCAATGTGATTGGGCTGGCGTACGTCACGAACGTATTTGTGCCGTGATTTTCTCACAATCATACGAAAATTGATCTCATAAGAATTTCAGAAGCAAATCCAGGGTTCCATGAAACCCCCCTTTGTGAAACCGATCGCGCCAGCTTTTTCTGTGTGGTAATTTTTTGGAACTGCCACTGAATCTCATTTTCGACTGAAATACGAAACCCACGCGACTACTTGCAATTGCATGATAATTACTTGAAAACGAAATAGAAAGGCATTTGATGCTGCTGCAATACATGCCAGTGTCAATCGTAAGTTTCACCTTCGCTTATCATTGATAACATGGATCACTAGTTAAAGGTGTTATCTATCTAAGCCATTTGAAAACAATATTCTTAAAACTGATTTATATCTTATTACCATATCCTTTGTTTGTATTCATATGACCTTGTAATAATATTGTTCGCATAGTTATCGATAAGTGGCGTTGCCTTGTCTGGTTTCTAGACGCTCTACCTACTGACAAGGTCTATCTGCCCGAGACTCTATAACTATAGAAAAAATAATCGATCCTTTGCATAAGACAAGTTTAAAATAAATAAATTAGTTCAAATCTGGATTCAAGGATTCACCTGCACTATGAGTCCTTTCGAAGAAAAATCAATTTAAGAATTATTTAAAAAGTTAAACAAAATCCATGCGTGCATCTTGGATTGAAGTTCTCATTGGACAATTAACTGTATCACGCTGTTAGTCAGAGAGCTATATTTGATGAAACGTATACAAATTGGTGTCGAAATGTTATAAGCACTGTGGGCGTTAGTAAGCGCGATCACAATGGGAGAGTCCTAAACGCTAAGGTGGAGAAAATTCATATTTCGCATTTTTGAGGAAAAGGCTAGAGCCTAAGTTTAATTCATGAAGCTTTGTAAACGTGCCAAATTTCGACAAGTTAGACAATGTATGACCTGTATTTGCTACAAGGGAAGACAAGTTGAGAGGTGGCAAGTGTTTTATACAATTATTATAATTACGTTCAGGAGTTTGAGGTAACAAATATTTCTTCAGGCGAGCCAAAATTCATACTGAAGGAAAAGGTGTTGTTTTCCAACATCATGTTTATCTTTTAAAAGACATAGGTCATTATTGCTATGCTAAAGGTCAATTTAATGTTCCCGCGTAATTTTTTCACATAGCATAATTTTTTACTCAAAACGGAAAGTGAGAAATTAGCATTGAACATACAAGAATTTCCTGCGTATTGTCCTTAAAACTATACGCTTATATAAATTTTGAAATTTAATTGTATTACGGGATTATTTTTCATATAGTTATGTAAATTACAAATCAGCACTGTTCAATTTTGAGTTGAAAATTTGTCAAAATGTTAATTGTATTAAAACTTGTATATGCCGGAACCTTAAAAGTTACTGAACATGTTATTTTCTTACCCTTCAATATTAAATACTGTTAATATGCAAAACCAAAAACAAGAAAGTCGTGTAAGTAATTGTCCACAAATGCGTACTTTCCCTTTACCGGACGTAATATCTCTTTCCCCTCGCGCGCCTTCAGCTTCGAAATTATTAAATACCTAAAAATAAATGTTAAAAACTACTACAGTCACACTCTTGTAGAATTATTTTTACCTCGTCTGTGACTGTCTCTTTGGATAGCATTTCCTTGAACAGGTTGAGCGAACTCTGTTGAGACTTCGAAAGGTCTCCAAGATACCCAGTCATGTTCAAAAACTTTACCAAAACCTAGAACTACCCAATTCCTGTGAAAATATATCCCAAACGAAGAAAAATGATATGGTTTTCAGCCTCAGAAATGTGGGATACCAATTTCCCCAGCAGTCGCGATGTCGTCAGTGGCTAAATAATTTATTAGATTTAAGATAGCTGATAAATATAAGAAACAAACCTGTATATATTTATTGCAAATATAAACTGCATAATTATCTTTCATTTTAGTATGCCAAGGTAGTAAGAAACTAGCTTTCGATCGACAACAGAGGGTGCATGCGCGACGTTCAATAAAATAAAATAAAAACTTAGTTTTAATGTTATTAAAAATTTTTGCTAAGACATTTTCGTAAATTCTTTATTTGGATTTTAAGGATATTCATTAGGGAAAATTATATTATTTAGGGTTAGGGTTGAGAAGTTTTAGGGAATTTTGAATTGAATGATGAATGTATATTTTCTTATTACAGGATGACAGTAGAATGGAATAAGCCAATTGGAACACGTGGCAGGTAGAGAGTTCCCGGATGTGTCCATAATATGCTAATCGCTAGTGCTATGGACGGCGCGAGGGGATTTCATTCGAAAACTATTTCGACATGGAGTTTCGAAAAAAGCCAATAAATCGCCATCATAACGGCACGATCAACAGCTGTGGACGATCTGCAGACACTTATCTCACCTTTATTTCATTGTGAAGAGATTTGGATTTTGCATTAAACGCCTGGGTTAATTTCTTACCGGCTTGGAGTGTGTGAAACAAGAAACGATTGCTTGCTTTTGTTTGGGTACCTGGAGTTTATCCACTAATAGTGGGTGTTTTTTTTTTTAAATCTGGGTTATTTGGATTGTTTTTGGGTACCATTTAGATCGCCAACATGAAATCAGACAGCTCAGAGAAATCGGAAAGCTGTTGGTAAGTACTTCCTTTAAGAAATGTTAGTTAAAGTTCAATGTTATGGAGAAGGCATGCTTTTCTTGTTTGGGAGGAAAAGCATGTCTGCCGCAGAACATAGAGCTGTTTTCCTACCTCTTGGAGCATTAGTTTTTGAGATCGGAGGTAGAAAAAACATTACAGAAGCAGGTTCGAATCAAAAGCTCTTCTGTTTATGTATATTCTCGTAAGAGACACTTTTCGAAGGTGACAACGTCTAATTGGCCAACCATTATAACATTCTTATTACTAGTGATCTGACCTCATAAAATAATATTCTAACCAAACAAATACAAATACTCTTTCACGACCAACTTCTTGACAATCTACTTCGCACATTTCCATTCAGCTTTTGCGCTAAAGCCTTACTTTTACGATATATATAGTATACTTACAGTAATGATGGATAGCTGAAACTTTTCCTCTACTTCCCCTCCCAGAGGTTCAAAATCTTTGACTCTCTTTGTACACAATAGAGTGGACAATTAATTACAAATGTTGTGGCTAATGTTGTGGTTAATGGCTATGTTATTATAGATCTTTAGTAGTAGCTCACTGGTAAAGAAAAACATATAAAAGAGCATTTTCTGAGAGCTGTGGAAAGCCGCCAGGACACATACCATATACACTGCATGATACTTTCATTTATCCATACCCCTTTGTCATCTAGAGCCAGTCAACAACAGCATTTTTTGAATTGACTGTATGATAAAATATTTTCCCATGCCCGTTATCCTAAAATCCTGCGTAGCAGCAGTATTTTCTATCTCTGCCTGAGGTCCAGTATCCCAGCTACTTACACCATCCACGCTCATGTCCTGGAATAGACCTCTTTGGCTTGGGGTAATGTTTTCCCATTTCAGACCACGTGTCATTCCCTTGAGAATAAGATTCTTTAATTGAGCTGTATCCATATTCATGTATCTTCTCATGTGCAACCCAGCACAAACCTTAAAGGGCCACTTGGACGAAAATTCGGACAAATTTCAAAACCCCTCTATGCGACTACAAACGGTTCCAAAACAATCAATAGAACTAATTAAACAATATCCGAACCTTAAATTTACCTTTTGTGTGAATATTGGTTCAAAAAAATAGGTCTTAAAAGTGTCCGCCATTGATTTATTCGTTCACGGCCAAAAGTCAATTCGGCCAGCGGTCTTCCGTAGGAAACCTCCTTGTGACGTCATTTACTCAACCCGTTTGTAGAAGCAGCGTTTACACCATACATTTCTTCTTGTATCTGCTTAGGTTTTTTTTGCTTTTTTGTAAGCGCAATCTTAAGAATAATAGTCGTTTTGTGAAATTTGGTATTCGAAAACCATGGAAGGTCATGGATTTGATGAATTTAACTATTCTGAGGAGCTAGAGCCGATTGCTACCGAAGAAGAGTATGTTGTTTACCAGAGGGAACTCGAGATAGAACTGGAAGAAGAAGAAATGCTAAAGAAACGATTTGCAAAGGAAATACAACTTAATCACTGGTAAGATATATAAACATTAACCTGGCTATACCAGTTATCAAATCGTGCAATGCTTTTAATCAAGACTCAAACTATTCTTCTTATATTTGTACTGTAGGTGCAGTTGCTCCGCTTGTTCACTGACTTTGATCACCAATCAAGCAGAGTGTTTTTGTTGTCAAGACATTGACCGTTGTAGGGAGAAATTGGAAGATTTTGAAGAAGAACTTCCTTGTATAACCGAACATCCTGGATTTAGGTCCNTGATTACTCACCACCAAATGGTCGCTTCAGATCTAGTTGGATATCTCTTTTGCACCAACCCTGAATATGAACCTCCCTTGCCTGCCAGGATATTACAGCTTCAAGCCCTACTTGATATTCTGGAATGTCCTCTTCTTCAATCCGTTCAATGATAAAAACATCCGTTGCCATTCACCATCAAAAATCGAAATCTACAGTTTCATTAGAAGAATTTGTCAGTCGGGCACATTTGTCGTTTCCATAATTCATCTGGTATTAAATTGTGATACGTATTCTTTACACCAAGTTCCTTTTCAACCTTCGAAAAGACATCCTTTAAGATATTGTTACCCTCAATCTCACATCTTAGGCAGCACCTTCATTACATAACATTACTGAAATCTCCATTATTGGAGTAGCAAAATAGAGTTAGCTTCTTGTTGTAGCGAAGATGTTTTCTCTCGGGGTTTTCTAGTTCTTTTGTAGTAAGTTGACAGTATGGAACTGGCGTACGTTTGCGTTTTCTTGGTAAAGGCGAAGAGGAAAATGGCTTGGGAAATTTTGACGCCAACTTTGGTAAAGATGCGTTTTTCTATTCAGCATTTCTTGTTGACCCAGAAGTGGACAAATCTRACAAATCTCCAAGTGAAATGGGGGAACTACCTGGGATCCTGACCCCTTCCCTCCCTCTTTCTCAACCGTACGATATATTACAAGATTCCTATTCAATAAGATTCTTAATACTTTAATATTATACCTAATTTTCTATCTGGTATGTTTTGATCTGACCCAATAGTTTTAACAAGTGATGAATCTTGCAGCACTTTTCCCGTTTTTTTTGTTATCTAACTGCTGAGCATTCTTTTAAATTATTAAATAAATAAATAATAGATAATAAATAATTGTGTTTGAAGTTAATATCGTGAGTAACGTTTCCTCGTTAACAAACAGCAAGATATCATTAGTGGCGCTTGCTCTTGCGCTGGTGCTTGATTAGGATTGCCCTTCTGGTCCAGCAAGGCAGTAGATTGCCCTCCTGAATAGGTTAACGGTTGACACGCGACCAGATTACGAAACCGGGCCGACGCAGGCCGGATAATTGTTCAATTGGCCTTATGGTCGACAAACGACCAGACAAAAGATTTAGCTAAGCTTAGGGTCGCCACACGATCAAACTACCGAAACACGGTCGACACACGACCAAACAATAAATTTTCCCAGCTCAGTGTCGCCACACGACAAAACTATCGAAACACGGCTGACATACGACCGAACAATAAATTTAGCCGAGGTCAGGGTCGCCACACAGACAAACTACCGAAATAATGACCAACACGACCAAACAATAAATTTAGCCGAGCTCAGGGTCGCTACACACGGCGTGTCTAGAGTGCGGGTAACGGGTAGCGGGTAACGGGAAAACATAACGCTTCAAGTCAAAATATAAGCAATTCATGATAGTAAATAATATAAATTTTGATGTTTTCTTTTGTTGTCGATGTTAAGAATAAATGATACTGGATAAATGATACGGGACTTCGCAGAATTACAATGCAAAGAAAATAGGTTATTTTTTTATCACCACTAAATTCCATATATTTTATGTTTAGAGTACTGTACAAACACTAAAATCGTGCAACGAAGAGTATGCGCATAGTTTTCATTAGACCGTGCACCAAAGTGTACAATTAAAACATAAAAGATCGTACTGAGTATGCTAAAGCTTATTTAACGGGTAAATGCAATTCAGAAATCCAAATATAACTAATTATGGTATATAATGCTARTCTAATTCAGTGTTTTTATGTTGTTAAATTAATTATTGCCATTTTGTAGTAAATAGTGCGAACGTTTAGTGTTTGTACTCAATGTTTGTTATAGCTTCTTTGTTAATSATTAAAAATGATAGAAAAATTTTTTGTCATCTTTTTATCATTTAATTTTCCCTAAATGTCTGACAAACGAAACACTGTAAAAGAAAATAAACATTGCAGCCGAAAGCACGTAGAATCGTAGAATAGTACACCTTTTGCTGTTCATTAAC